TTTGTTACAGTGATGCAAAGCTAACTCACGAACTCAGTTAAAAATTAGAGCAGGTATCAATGAAAATTTGTGGTTTCCTGATTTATAAACTGATTTGCAGAATATAGTCTGGTCTTAATGGATTATCATGTGTATTATTATAGTCTTAATGGATTTTCATGTGTATTATTAAATAATCCAGTGAAAGTCCCCTGCAGCTTATTGACTAGGACCTTTATTTTTAAACAAACTCAACACCACTTAGCTGTGTGGTATGGACTAGAGTGCCTTTGAAACTCAGTGATGAGAACAGGAAGCAGGAGTCAGGTACTCTTAGTGTCAAACCTGAAAGGCATATTCATTTTTTTTCTTTTATCCCATCAAATTGCCATTTTATCCTCAGTAAAAAAAATTAATGGATTTCCATTAGGACAGCATTCCAGGAGAACTGAAAAGCACATTTTCTGTCTATCTCCTCCTTTTCAAATCTATTTGTATAACGCTGTACACCATAATCTTTTGTGCTTTTTAAAATCTCCATATCTGTAGTTTAGTTACATCTTTATTATTATTCCTACAATTTATGTCTTTTCCTTTTTCCCCAGGATTAGTCCTATAAGGATTTTCCTGTTTCCTTGACTTTTCAAAGAATAATCTTTTGTGCTATTAGTCAGTTTTTTTAAACTTCAATTAATTTCTGCCTTAATCTTTTGAAATTGTGTTTGAAATAGTTAATTGTAACATAATTTATATCCATTTACAAATAAGTAGTTTATATGAGAATGATTATTAGCTTTACATTACCTGGTAAACATAAGGACCATGAACCCTGGGAAGGACTTCTTTTCTAAGTTTTATATCCTTCTACTTTCTTTGGATTAATTTTGTTTTTTCTTTCCGATTTCCTGAATTGAAAGCTTGGTTCATTTACTTTTCATTTTTTCATGTTAATTGCATTTAAAGTGATACATTATCCTCTAACTCTTGCTTTGTCTATATTCCAGAGTTACAAAATTGTACAAAGAATAGCAGCTTCATGTACTTGGTGGAAGTGTTTTATTAACACGTTTCCTTCTGTTATTTACTACTGCTATTTGCCATTCATTGGCTATTTACTATGAGGTAGGCCTAGGAGGGCCAAATACTCATGAGTTCCTATGGCAAAGGAGCTAAATATTTCATGTGCTTAAAAAAAAAAAATCAGATGAATTGAGTACCAGAAAGGCTTTCACCATGATTTTTCTCTTTCCAGCCTACAATTTTAGCTTGTCTATATATATTTAGCATAGACTTGGAGAAAAGGGAATAAATGGAGGAAAAGAATAAGAATTCATATTAAACCATAGGGTAACAAGATTAGCAATGGTCATGATACATACCTGATACCTGTAAATAATTATCTGAACTTTAATTCTAATGTCTGAGAAAGTTGGTGAAAATAATTTTAAATGTTCCTACGAATGATTTATTATGTAGTCAAGAATTTTGGCCTACTGATGAAAAAAAATAAATATAAAAAGTATGTATACAATTCATCTATTTAACATGTATTTTGTGTATATTTATATTTTTTCACTCAATCCTTACCAAAAATTATTATTTCTTCCATTATGAATGTAGGCAGAAAACCACAGAAATATTAGCAATACCTGTGACTTTATTTTTTTCTACCACATTAAAGATGGCTACAGATATCTCAAAATATTCTTTTTGTATATCACTACTGCAAAACTGCTGTGGGTCTTGATCTTGTTATTTAATGCATTAATAAAGAAGCAAATATACAACTCTTTTAGTTATCTATGACTGTGCATCAAATTGCCTCAAAAGTTTTTGCCTTAAACAACAAACATTTAGCTGGGCAGGGTAGGGCACGTGTGTAATACCAGAAGCTTGGGAGGCTGAGGCAGGATTCTAAATTCAAAGCCAGCCTTAGCAACATAACAAGGCCCTAAGCAACTTAGTGATACCCTTTCTCAAAATAAAAAATAAAAAGGGCTCAGATGTAGCTCAGTGGTTAAGCATCTCTGTGTTCAATCTCTGGTACAACAACAATAACAACAACAGCAAATGTTTATTATCTCAGAGGATCTGTGGGACAGGAATCTGGGCTTGGCTTAGCTGGCTCTGCTGGCTCATCATCTGGTTTCTCAGTGCAGGGGTTAGGCAGGGTTATAGTCATCACAAGGCTCACCTGGGAAAGAATCTGCTTTCAAGTTCATTCAGATGGTTATTGGCAGACTTCAGTTCCTTATGTTATTGGACAGCTTTAACTTCTTGGTAATTTTTTTACTTGAGATCTCTCACAGTTCCTTACCATGTGGACCTCTCCATAAGGCAGGTCCCAACAGAGCAGCTGGCTTCCATCAGAGTGAGCAGGTGAGACCAAGAGAGTGAGCGAGATAAAAGCCAGAGTCTTTGGTAACCTAATTATGAAAATGAAATCCCATCACATTTACTGTATTCTCTTCTCCAAGTTACAAGTCCAGCCCACACTCAAAAGAAGGAATTGCACAAGAATATCAGAAGGTAAGGATCATTGGGAGCCATCTTAAGAACTACCTGCTATATAACTATATCACAAATTCACTTTTTAGTATTTTGCTAATTTAATATTAATATAATCCATTTGTCTTATAGGCTTATGCAGTTTATTTTACTCATTTCAGAATGTATTTTGTAAAGGGATCCATAGGCTTCACCAAACTTGCCAAAGGATACATATCTCTTAATTTGTTTCAGTTCAGGTAACTTTAACAACCTCCTGAGCTAATTTGTTCAGAATAGTCTCAATTAATAAACTAGTGGTCAAAGCTTTTTCTTTAATCTAGTCTGATAATATAGAATAGTTTATATTATCCCAGTGTTGTGAAAAAAGCACGGCACATTCTAAAACCCAAATTTGCTATAAAACAAACTATAAACTTCTCCATCTTACCTACTTGAATTGAATGTGTATGTATGCAGTATGGGAAAAGAAGCATATAGGTCTCTGTCAAGTCTTTTTTATCAGTTAAACTACCTACACTTGCATATGACAATTGTCATTTGAGTCTCAAAATGATCACGTAAGTGGAATTGATACCCTGAAGACTACTCTTATTACCAGACAGGAGCTTTCCCCAAGCTATATATGAAAAAGCATAGAGTGTAAGAAAAGAGAAAGAAATGATGTTATGATTTTTTTCCTAATACTTAGGTATGTGTAATCAACTCTTGGTAAACCTAAAGATAATGATTGGCATTTTAAAATTACATTTTCTACAAGCACTATGCTAGCTTAATATATTGTCTTACTAGTCTAAAAACTAAGGGTATTTTATAAAACTTTCAATATAAAACTTTTTAATATAAAACTTTCAATATTCTTAGGATACATTTGTCAACAATCATTGGAAGTGATTCTCTTTTAAATGGCTTGCCCAAAGACCAGTTTTGTCCCCAAATGCAAACTGCATCATTTTCCCCAAGTCATTTCCATGAGTCATCCTACAAGAAAGTTGTTTTCTAAATATAATAGACCCATATCCCTTTATCCACAGTTTTCTTTTCCCATGTTTCAGTTGCCAGCATCATGGTCCAAAAATATTAACTGGAAAATTCCAGAAATAAACCATTCATGAATTTAAAACTGCATCCCATTCTGAGTGACGTCATAAAATCTTGCACCAATCCACTCTATCTCATTCCAGAAATGAATCCTTCCTTTGTCCAGGGTTTCTGCATGGTATATGCTGCCTGCCCATTAATGAGTAGCTCGCTCAGTTATCAAATTAACTGTTAAGGTATTACTTGTCATCAAATACTAGTCTTCAAGTAACCCTTATTTTACTTAATAGCCCCCAAAATGCAAGAGTAGCAATTTTGGCAATTTGAGATTTCAAAAAAGCTAGCACTACTTCTCTTAAGGAAAAAGTTGAAAAATTTTAAATTAGGAGTGAATGAAAAAAAAATCATAAAATGAGGTTGCTATGGTAAGTTGTTGTTAATTTCTTTCTTTCTTCTTCTTCTTCTTCTTTTTTTTTTTTTTTTTTTTGGTACTGGGGATTAACTCAGAGGCACTTGACCACTGAGCCATATCCTCAGCCCGATTTTGTACTTTTTATTTAGAGACAGGGTCTCACTGAGTTGCTGAGGCTGGCGTTTAGAACTCTGCATCCTCCTGCCTCAGCCTCCTGAGTCACTGTGCCACTACGCCCAGTGTAATTCTCTGGTTCAAATGATGTAGCTCAACACTAAAGACTATCATTTAGTATAGTTCAGATTTTCTGAGATAACTCAAGCAAGTTTTCCACGCATACTTCCGTTTACTTGGGGCCTATTCTTTCTTATATCTATTTTTTAAGATTTAGGTGGACACAATATCTTTATTTTATTTTTATGTGGCGCTGAGGATGGAACCCAGTGCCTCATGCACGCGAGGCGAGCGCGCTACTACTTGAGCCATATCCCCAGCCCTTTTTGCGCCCTTTCCAAATCCTAATTTCTCTCAAGACTCTAGAGTTCAGTCATGATGAAATGGAAGAGTTATGGAACTTGGGTGGCTTCTAGTCCCCACAGCCACCCACTGGGCAGTTGGTCAGCCAATCCATCTTTGTTGAGTACAATTTCCTAATCTGCAAATGGTGTGGATTTGTGATTTCTAAACCCTTCTCTATTTCTAATAGAGAATTGTAAAGTACTGAGAAAAAACTCTGACGACATTTAGGACATGTAAGTAATGTTACAACAAAATGAGCCACTCTCAAGCGAGTTTTGAGTGAGATGAGGCTGATAAGAAAAGGAAGTGCTAACCTCCCAGTCTAAGTTCCAATAGGAGGAGGTGGGCGGGGCCGGGGGCCCGCTTTGACGACAGAAGGCTGCTTCCGGCTGGGGTGCGTATGACGTCAGGGTGAGCTGGACCAGCCCAGCCACCGAGAAGCCGAGGAGGGAGGGCTCGCGAGAGTTCAGGGCGGCCGCCCCGAGATTCCTGCACGGCCGCAGGTCCCGCCTCTCGGGGGCGGGGCGAGGGCGGAGCGGGCAGCAGGAGCGGAGGGGCGCCCGGCCGGCTGCGGTCGGTGCGGAGGCTGAGCCGGCCGCGGGCGCGACTGGAGGCAGGTGAGTGTGCRGATGCAGCGCTCTGGGGGCCGGGCTGCCGCGCCCGCTCCAACTCTGCGAGTGAGAGCTGGAGGAGATCTTCTGTGTCTTTGGGTGTCCAGGGAAAGCTGAGCTAATTTCGGGGCTGGAAATGTCTCCCGGGAAGCTCTGGCGACGGCCTTGGCCCTCTTGTTCCCCGGGGTGATACCGGCCCGTGTGTCCGAAGAGGTGGCCTCGAGCCCGGGGAGGAATTTTTGTCCTTCCCTGTTCCTTTCTTCTTTCACTCCTCGGCCCCCAAGCACCCCACTTCAGGTCGCTGCCTGGGTTTCACAAACAATAACAAATGTCGCGGATGCCCTCCTGGTCGCCCCTGTCTCCCGTCCCGTGCCCTCCAGCCCATGTCACCGAGAGGACGGATTCTGGGCATGGCTCTTGAGTTGTGGGGGCTGTTTGTGTATCATTCCTAAAAACTGATGCGTCAGATTGCTAAACATTCTCAGACACTGTAAAGCCGCCCAGCTGCCAGCAGCCACGGAATGTTCGAAACTGGTCTCGAAATCGGTCCCTACCATTGGAACGTAGACCCTTCTTTTCAGCATCTTTTTCTCTCGCCCCCCCTCCCCATTTTTACCTGTAGTGTTGAGAACAAACGATTGGTTGTTTAGCCTGGGAATAGGAAAGATTATACCTGATTGAGTAGACAGACGTTTCACCTTTAAAAGTTGCCAGGTTGACAGCAAAAGAACAAACTTTTGTTATCAAAATCAGTGGACTACCGTTTTCTGATGCTACTTTTGTTTTATAAGATCGCTTTTTCTGGTTCTGAATTGGGAGAAATGATATAAAAAGAAATGGGAGATGGGGGTGGGGGTGGGGGTGGTGCTGAAAGTAGTAGCTTGTCCAAAAGTGTGCTACTGTTTGTTGTTGCTCAGTTGTTGAAATGCAGAACCAACGCTCTTGCCTGTTTCTTCTAACTTGTGATAAGTTTTGATAGAAGCCACTTACTTGGAAGTGGTCTGAGGATTAGCTTTATTGCTACTAAAATCCAAGGAAACAACTTGAGTGGTTTAAATTATGCCTTTTGGTTTTAAGACAGGGATTAGTGAGTGAGACCTTGTCTTTTTTTTTTTTTTTTTAAACGTGGGGGCTTAAATTTGAACAGGTCTCCCTATTTTAAAGGAGGGTCTCTTGTTCTTAACCCCAATTTTGATTTGTTTTATCCTGGATATATAAGATACTGGAAACTGCTTTGAATTTGGCCTTTGTCTCTTTGCCTCAGGATATATAAAACAATTAAGATTATTATACTCTGCATTGTCTTGGAGGTATTGTATGTGATTATTTACTCTTGTGACTATTTGGGGATAAAGTAATTAGTCCAAAATATGATGTTAATTTTTTTAACATATTTGTTCATATTCAGTATTATAGTACTTATCTGAAAAATCCTAATCTCAAGAGAGATGCAATAGATAAAATCTCTTTTTGGTTTGACCTCACTTAGCTTGTGTTCTTGTTAAGATGGCTGATAATGTTTCCCATTTTGTTGGAATGTGTTCAGAATGAGAAGCAGTTTTGTGTAGTTTTTGTATTCTTTTAAAAAGTCCTGCTATTGGGGAATTAACAAATTAGAATTAGAAAAAACTACATTAAATGAATACAATTCTTCTCTAGCACTTTGTTCTTGAGTTTGTTTAAAAATGAATAAAAGAATAGAGACTAAGATTATTTGTGGAAATAAGTAGGAGTTCTCAGAAGTTTTTTATGCTGAAAATTTAATCTTGAGAGGTAGGATATGACAAAAACAAAGGAAAAACTCTACTTTCTAGAAAATGATAAAGCAATGAATTCAGTTTGGCCATTTGTTTTCAGAAAAGGTTTGTTCTCTCAGAGGAAGGTGAGTATTGTTGTCCTAGAAAAGTTGGATGGTACTTTAGAAATTACTTTACCAGTGATCTGGGAGAAGTTGGAGACTTTTTCTTTTCTTATCTTTTCTTTTGGTGGCACTTTTTCAAGAGGGAGTAACAGGGTGCATATCAAAACCAGAAAGATTTGCATCTCATTGTAATGTTAAAATAATTTTATTTTACACAAATAAGTGTGGGTGAATTAAGCAAACATATTGTCATCTAGCATTCCTAGGATTACTTTAAAATCAGGCAGATGGGCAAGTTATGATTAGGTTAGACTTGCCATATGCAGAAAGTATGCTACTATATTTTTTATATTAAAAGCATCATTGGGGCTGGGGTTGTGGCTCAGTGGTAGAGCACTTGCCTTGCATGTGTGGGGAACTGGGTTCAATTCTCAGTACCACATGTAAATAAACGAATAAAAGTCCATCAACAACTAAAATATTTTTTTAAAAAAATCATCATGGGCTTTTTAAGTGAGATAATGAAAACAAATTAAGGCATAAGAAAAATTTTAAAATTAAAATGATATCATTGGTTAGTGAGGCTTCTTTTCCTTTCTCCCTTTGAACATTCTTGTTCAAATCTTAAGGGAATATTTAGAAAAGGTCTGACCATTCCTTCTATGTACTGATTATATAAGCCTTCTGTCTCCAGGTAAAGGTTTGCTAATTGACAGTGTATTATTGTTTACAGCCTTTAGAGGGAGGTGAGAGGCAACAGTGGGCAGTGTTTGCTGCCTGGTACATGTAGATGATCTGTGGTCTCTGTCCTCAAGGTTTGTCCTCTGCCCTAATGGGAGGAAAATGGGCCCACCCAAATAAGTATAATACAAAATGCACTTTATGAGGAAGCCAAGCAGGGAGGGATTAAATTCTACCAGAGCAAGTAAGGAAGGCTTTAAGTAGGAAAAGGCATTTATGTGGATGGTTTGTTGATAATGTCAGTAGGGAACATTATATAATGCTGCTTGCTGCTAAATTCTTTCCTTAAATTACTTATTTACTTGGGTTTAATTCTTTCAACTGTATGAAGTAGGTGTTTTATTATTCCCATTTTGTTGATGGAATAACTGAGGTACTAAGATCAGAGAGCTAGTAAGTAAATCAGGATTCCAACCCAGGTGTTCTGGCTTGTATCTGTATCTATAGCTCATTTGCTATCCTATTTTCATTCTTCTTTTCAGGTCTATAGTTTCAAAGGGTTTATTGGGAAAATGCATTCCTCTATCATCTAAATTTTGGGATCAGTTTTCTAGAAACAAAGTAATGAAAATTTAGGTAAACACAATATATTTTCAGCATGTTAAGTATTTTAACCCATTTTCAAAAGTTGCTTTTGGGGACTGGAGCTGTGGCTCAGTGGTAGAGTGCTCGCCTAGCATGTCCGAGACCCTGGGTTCGATCGTCAGCACCACATATAAATAAAGGTATTGTGTGCAACTCCAACTAAAAATTTTTTTTAAAAAAGTTTCTTTTGGTACCAATTAAATGTAACCATTGAATAGGACTTTTGATAATGCTTACTACCTGTCAGTACTCATAAAGATTTGGAAATAAGAAGTTATAACTCCTTGAAAGAAGTATAATCATTGTATATATTATCTTGTAATTTAAAAAAACATTTGGCACTGGTTTTGTGATGAATTATGAAGTTGAAATTTAGTTAATGATTGAATGATCATCTCAGCCCTTTCAATTTTTATTTCCACAAATTGCTGTACTTACAATGGCTGAAATAGGGTTTGAATAGAGTGTTTTAAATATATAAAATGAGAGAAGTTCAGTTACTGAAACTTTATGTTGGGGAAGCTTTGAAAATTCTTTGGGGTTGTAAGGTAACTGGTGCTGTAGAATGTGTGCTTCTCATAGAGACCTCTCAGTAAATGGTTGTTGAAAGAATGGTCCAGATGTTACTTTTGAAGTTGCAGGAATAGTCCATATTTGTTATTGGTTGTCTAAAAATTGGAAAACAGTTAATGAGTATGGGGGTGAATGGTGGTAAGGCTGCTGCCTCCCCTTACCTGTCTAGTAAGATCCAGTCTCTTCAGCTCCTTTGGTTCCCTGATTGACCATACTCGGGGTTCTGGAGGACATTCTCTTCGAAGGAACAGAGTTGTATTCTTCTTTTGACTGAGTGGGGTAGGTGGTAGAAAACCCCTATAGTAGGATAATTTATGGCTGATACGCTTAAACCCAGTGAGAAAAGTAGCAGAACTATGCCAGGATTTGAAGCCCACATATTTGTAATATTAAAATAAGACAAAGATGGCAAAACAGAAAGCTTGTGTGTGTGTGTGTGTGTGTGTGTGTGTGTGTGTTTTAACACACCTAAATTAGTAGTGATAGTATACTGTTTCTATTTACTGTCCTCAGTTGACAAAATCTTCTAGAACATTAGCCTGTAATTTTATGGAGATGCTTATAACAGCTTTTCTTTGTTTTAAAAATTTATAGCTTTCTGTATGTACAGGTTGGTTTTGAAAGGTTGTTCTTAGTAAAAAGGAGAATGAGTTTGCCAATCAAAGGAAAACTAGACATACTCTCACCTCCTTGTGGATAGAAATCTGGGGGGCATCTTTTCCCACAATAAAAGTTTTGTCTACAATGCAAACCCACTTGGGCAGTTAGCCTCCCTGTTAGATGATCTCTGCACCGCTCTTAGGGAAGACTAGCTTAGCTGTTACAGGTCATTTAGTGACCTGACCATTCATATTGATGTATAAATTTAAACATCCCTTAGCCTTGTTAATTATCTGTGGCCTGTGATAATGGTAAAACATGCTTAGCTTTTAAATTCTTGAACAATCTCTTTGCCTTCCCCTGAATTAACACTAGACCATTTGACAACCCAAACTGATGTTGATTCTTTGGCCACATGCATAAAGAGGTTTCTTGTTTTCCTTATCTTTTGCTGATTCTTACTGATTCTACAGGCATACATTTTCAACATATAATAATATGTAAATATCTAATCCCATATGCACAGAAAACCTTTTTTTTTTTTTTTTTTTAGTGATTTGCTATCTTTACATCTGATTTGGAAGGGGAATTTATTCCTTCTTATTTCTGGAACAATTAAACTGCTTTTTCAATTYTTGAATAGGAT